GGGGTGGCTCATTCAGGTAAGGTGTGGTATAGAGCGAATGTGGAAAACAGAAGACAGGGACAGAGAGAAAAAGGAAATCCGCATGAGGAAATATTTCCTGTGAGCGCTAATACTCCTGAAAGCAGAGCTGGCCCCTATTACAATCTCCCCGCTTTCCCAGGCTGTCTGGACAACAGGACCCGAAGGGCAAGCTGTTCAAGCTGTTTGGTTTGTCTGAGAGAGAGGACAGACGCTCCTTACCGTGGGCTCGCACGCATGCCGAGGTGGAAAGGGCTCTCTTGCCGATTAGGCTAATTACCCTGGTGGCCAACATCCTGAAAGATAAAAACACAGCTTCTCTTACTACTGAGAGGAGTCAGCAACAGTCCATGTGCCCTGTTTTTCAGCTTCCGCCCTTGTATTTATGACCAACTCAACTCACAAAGCAGCCCAGAAGCAGACTGCACGGCTGTCTGTATGCAACTCCCTTCTAAAACACACACATCTCCTTGCCTTCAAGTGGATGCCAACTCACAGTGACCCGATAGGGCAGGGCAGGGCTGCCCCATGAATTTCTGAAGCTGTAACTGTTTACAGAAGTAGAAAGCCCATTTTTCTCCTTCAAAAGCAGCTGGTGGTTCTGAACCACTGACATTTCAGATTGCAGCCCTAATAAAGGCTTGAGGGCCTTGAGCTAGCAGAGAACCAGGAGGAGGGAAGCAGGCGTAGCTGTAAAAGTCTTGTGTGGCCAGGGCAGGCTACCAGCTCACAGATACTACGAAGGCCCCTGGTGGCGCAGCAGTTAAAGCTCACCCGTGCACCTCTAGCTTGGCCAACAGAGCCCGACAGCAGCTCCATGGGAGCAAGATGTAGCTGCTGACACCTTTAAAGACTGCAGCCTTAGTGGAGTGCTGCCTCAGAATGATGATGTCTGCCCTAAATGATGATGTCTCTAAAGTGAACCAGAGACATACATAGGCCATAAGATATATGGACTTTGGGCTCACACTTAATTCTAGCCCCAACCTAAGAACAGTCAGTTCTCATGACAGTGCCCTGTTTGACACTCATCGTCATGAAATCACTGTGAAGATATGGATGCTATTGCAAGATGTGATGGAGAAACTAGAGGGTGCTCAGCTGTCAGGAAGAATAGCATCTGGGATCTTAAAGATTTGTTTTCAAACAAGCAGCCACCTATGTGAGACATCAACTAAGTCCACATGGAAGAAGCTCATCAGCCTCTGTGATCCAAGGATTGTAAATAATATAGTCCAACTCTAAAGGAGGAAATGGTATCGGCTTGCAGAAGACTAAGGATGGCAGTGGAAATGCAAAATCCATGTCTAGGGTTCACACATGGATTAACTCTCAGGTGCATCTCCTCGTACATAGCTGATGGATGTGAATAGCCCTGTTATATGACAGAGAACATTGTAAAGTCATTTACGACCACATGGCTCGGTCGAAATGTAGGATTCTTTGATCTCCGTTTCGATCCGTTTTAAAGCTGTTTCAGTTTTGGGAGGGAAAGTGACGAGAGATACACATGGATCAATCCCCTCTGACCTTGGACCAGGGATGTGAACAGCCTTGCTATCTTGCAGAATTCATTGCAAGTGGATTGCTGCCAACACAACTATATTAATATCTAGCAGCTTATTATTTGATCTTTTATGATTCAAGTTTGTCCTGGTTTTTAATGTTTTCTGCTTTGTTTTCAATTGAGGTTTGTATCTGTTTTGCTTTTGCTTGTTATTTAAGGTTTTCCTATACATGAAATCCAGGATAGGTAAATCTATCGAGACAGGAACTGAATTAATGGTTCCTTGGGAGTATGGCAGCGGAGGTTGGGGGGGAAATGAGGTGCTAATTACGATGAACATACACATGAAGAAAATGCCCTAGAACCGACTGTGGGGATGACTGTACAGCTCTTCCTGACGGACCGAACTACTGGATTGGAGGGTCTGTGAACTCGGAGCTATTAAAACTGTTGGGAGGGGGGGGGGGCAGAGATATGTTCTAGACCCGATTGTACAACTCTTCTTGTCGTGGTTCAACTACTGAATTGAATGAGATGTGGATTATGTGCAAAAAAACTGTTTAAAAAGACTACAGCCCCGTAGGCCCATTCTAATCTGTCCTATGGGGTTGCTGAGTGGGAATGGGCCAGAAAGCGAGGGATGGGTTTCATTTTTCTCACAAGTGCTGGGATGCATTAAGGTGACACCCAAGGTTAGGCAATGGGTTGCTACCTGGCAGCAAAGCAGGAGAAAAATATGATCATCGGCTTCTACAATGATCCGTCTGGGAACCCCTACGGGGCAGTTCTATCTGCCCGACGGCTGGGGTCACAGTGGGTCGGGTTTGTTTATCCCACAGGGCTGACATTCATAAAGGTGGGCCGCTGGGCGCTGGCAGCTCCTTCCAACCCTGTTTCTGCACAGCAGTGACCTCGATGACCCGGTTCTCGCCTGGGTTCCTTGATCCCCTCCCCCTTTAAAACTGAACCCTTCGGAGAACCGTGGTCACTGCCGGAAAACAGCCCCATTACGCAGAACAAGCGAGGGCAGGGTGGCAGGCAAAGCGCGCTCGCTGGTGTGTGCCTCTTTGTCCTCGCCCGGGCGTGGATGTCCTTCCAGGACAGCATGCGGAGCGCCTCTCCGGGCCGTTATCCCAGGCGAGGGTGTGGGGGGCCGTTATCCCGGCCGGAGGTTCCGTTAGCCGGGGCGAGGACCCCGAGGCCGTCTGTAAATACCGAGGCCTGATCACCCAGACTCCACCCAGGCCCCCGCCCGCGGCTAGCGGACGCCTCAAGGTCAGGGCCCAGGGCCAGGCCGGGGTCGCGTCCGGGCAAAGGGACCTGGTCGCACGCTGATCTCCGGGCGCCGCAGAAACCGGAACCCTGCCGCCCCCGAGCCGGGGCCCCCGCGGACGGGCGTCAATGTCACCGCGCTCCCAGGCCCGGCCGCCGCGTCCCGCTCCGCTCCGAGCCGCCGGAGCGCCCTCCTGTCCGCTCAGCTCGCGCCCGCTGAGCCCTGGCCTCCCCCAGCCTGGCCCCGCGGCGCCGGCCGCCCCCCGCCTCACCTGCCGCCGTTGCCGCCGCGACCGCCCTGTATGCCCCGGCTGTCCACGACCGGAAGAGAGCGAGGCCGCGCCGCGGAGCACCACGGGATCGGGGAGACTCCGCCCCGCGCCGGAAGGAGGCGAGCGTCGTAAACGGCCGGACCGCGCTGCTTTCCGGCCGGCGCTCGGGAGACCGCTTTCCGGCTGCCACCGCGAGCTCGCTGTCTGAGGCGCGGCGCCTCGGTTTCCCGAGTGTGGGGCCGCTCTCCGCGGAGCCCGAGCCGGAGCGGGGCCCCTGGGTCGGGGTCTCCGCCTGCCTTCCGGGGAGCCGCCGCCGTCGCTCGCCCTGCTGGTCCGCTGAGGCGCCGGCCGCGGGGCCAGGCCTCCCGGGGCCGCCCGGGCTCAGCATGCCCGGCGTGAAGCTGACCACCCAGGCCTACTGCAAGATGGTGCTGCACGGCGCCAAGTACCCCCACTGCGCCGTCAACGGGCTGCTGGTGGCCGAGAGGCAGAAGCCGCGCAAGGAGCACCTGCCCCTGGGCGGCCCCGGCGCCCACCACACCCTCTTCGTGGACTGTGTGCCCCTCTTCCACGGCACCCTGGCCCTCGCCCCCATGCTGGAGGTGGCCCTCACGCTGGTAAGCCCCGCGGGACGCCCCTTCCGGGGGTCGCACTGCGCCCAGGACCGCCCCGGTGGGCCCAAGCCGCCGTGGGAGCCTGGGTGGCACCTTAGGCCACGAGCCATCCGAGAGCCAGAGCAGAGTCCGGCCACAGCCGCCTGGCCTGTGAGTGAGGCGTAGCGGTCTCTCGCGTTGAGCTGCTCCCCGTAAGGTCGGCGGTTCGAAACCAGCTGCCGCTCCTCGGGGAGACAGATGAGGCTTCCCACGCCGGTAAAGAGTTAGCGTCTCGGACACGCACGGGGCCAGTTCTACCCCGTCCTATAGGGTCGCTGTGAGCCGGCTTCGGCTCGCTGGCGGTGAGTTGGGGTCTGGTGTGTGGAGGTCGGGTTTTCCGCGCCAGCCCAGAGGCCCTTCCGGATGAGTCCAAACCGTGCGGCTCGTTGGCTGTTCGTCTTGGGGCCGGGGGCGTTGAGGACGGCCCCACCTTGGGTAAACTCAGTGTCTAGGGAATTTCGCGGAAGAAAGGTGTGGCGGTCTGCTTTCGGAAACCCTGTGGGGCAGCTCCGCTCTGTGCTAGGCGGCCTCTGTGCAACTCGAGGGATGCAGAAATTGCCCTGTTTCCATTTTCTGGGCCAGGGTGCTAACCTACATTGTCTCCGTGGGCAGAAGCTTAAAGGTACGTTGGGCAATTAGCACGCGAAAGCAGGTTGCCTGGTGCTTTTGCATGCAGGGACCGCCCTACTGGAGCCCGCTGGGGGAGACCCAGGTCCTGGGGTAAGAGAAGCCTGCTGGCTGGTCGCGAAGTTCCAGGCCTCCTGTGGGTTTTGAGTTACTGTGAGAGATGCGGAACAAAGACTAGCCGCCACCCGACCTGCCTGGACTGAGGGTGGTTACTTTCCCTGTAAATGTAATCCGTTCCTTTAAAGAAAGTTCACCTGGTCAAAGGGTGTGGCCTGAAATCCTTTCCCAGTGCTTCCAACTAAGTCCAAATGAGTCTGTTGTCATTGACCTTATTATCACTTACCCCCAATTGCTGGCAAGCCAGAAGTACCTTTGGACAAATAAGTGCACCTGGAGTTACTGAGTCACCCATCAGTGAATACCTGTGAAAGTGAAGCTGAGCCCATGGCTGCTGCTGGGACTCAAGTTTCTGCCTTGAACCTGGATTCAGGTAAAAGGTCAGAAATACTACTCACCTGCCTTGTTCTCATGCCTGAATATTGCAGCAAGAAATGGGAAGATTTCTCAGATGCCTTTCCTGGCAGGAGATTGGTAATCAGTAGATAAACCTAGAGGAGCCCTCCTGGTACAGCAGTTATGCATTGGCCTGCACTCCACGTGGTCAGCCATTTTCAAAACCACCAGCTTGCTCCACGAGAGAAAGACGGGTTTTTCTACTGAGCGGAGTCTCCGAAACCCACAGGGCCAGTCCTACCTTGCTGTGAGCTGCCATCACCTTGATGGCAGAGTTGAGTCTGAGATAAACCCACAGGTCGGTCCTCCTACAGAGGCTAGTGAGTTTCGAACTGCTGAACACGTGGTTAGCAACTTACTACAGGCCACCAGAGCCCCTTTCTATAAGTAGATCAGTGGATCCACACAATTGATCATTTTAATCTGGCAGGTGATCGAATCTATGCAGCGCTTTGGGTGATGGGCAAGGAGCCGAATGTACGGGCAGCACTCCACGGGCACATGGATCCCTCTTCCCCAGACAGTGGTTTCTGGGCCAGGCCTGCGCTGGTGGTGAGGGATATGGTGCAGCCCAGAGATCCAGTGTCGTGTGGAGTTGGCTGAGGGGTCCAAGAGAAAAGCCAGCCAGCCCGGCTATGAGGGTCAAGGAAGTGAGGCAACCCAGTGGGATGAACAGGGAGAGGGGCCAGAATGCAGGACCCTCTAGTCCTGGACCTGGTTTGGGGGAGCTGCAGGAAGGCAGCTGCACGGTCAGACACTGGTTTTGGTGTGACTGTGGCAGAGATTGTGTTGCACCCCCCCACCCCATCCCTGCCATGGAGTTGATTCTGACTGACAGCAGTGCTGTTGGACAGGGAGACTGGGGTTTCCCTTGTGGGAGCAGAAAGACTCCCTTTCTCCTTCCTAGCGACTGGTGGTTTACACTGCCGACCTTGTGATGAGCAACCTGATGCTTACCTGTTGTGCCACCAGAGCGCCTACTTGTGACTAAAGGCAAGGAAGGCAGTCAAGACAGAAGCGGGTGGTGGCCCACACCTGGTTCCGTGAGGGTGCCGAGAAGGAACAGAGGGGACTGCTGGGACACCAGGAAAGGACATGCATGCGACACTTGGAGGGCTGGCGGCCCCATCCATTGAGGGCAAAGTCAGGAGCAGGTTTACTGGCCGGGTTACATCCACCTGGGCAGGTAGGCGCTTGCTCAGGATACACTGTGGCCTCGAGCAGACTGGCGACTGTGCAGGCTGGGCACCACTCCATTCTGTGGTGAGGAGTTGGCCCTGAGAGAGCCAGATCTGTGGCAACTTAGCAACGCTGGCCCCAGGGAGCAGGGTTGCCTCCCAACCACTTTCTGGGAGGGAAGGTGCCCAGAGGGAGTCTTGATTCCAATTGCTCAGGCCAGGCATCACTGCCTAAGCCCAGACCCCATCTGGTCCCCCTGCCATCTCACTCTGCCCTCCTCGGGACCTCAGTGCTATTCTGGGGTGGGTTCTCTGAAAGACAGCCGTCCAGCACTAAAGGCCTGCCAGAGAGGGTTCACAGCCCCCCAGGCTTGTCTGCCTCGAAGCTGACAGAGCTGGAAAGTGCTGACCACGAACAAATGGAGTCACTTTGGGGGAGTGCACTGCGTGAGTCCACGCACATGTCTCTTGCTGTCTGCTGCCCTCAAGAGGGCCCCCGACTCAGCGTATTTTCTTCTGCAGAGCTGCTCTGCGTTCAGACCACCCACCTGTGGGTGGGCAGCCCCCTGGAGCTGCAGACAGCACCTCCCAAGCTATTGAAATGCATCGTTTTGTGACTCTAACCCTGAAGGGAGGAAAACCCCTGTTGTCCTCTGCCCCAGTGGCCTCGACTGCCCTACGTGGTCGCCTCTCCCTGCCGGTTCCGCAGGAGTTGGTTCTGATAGGTACGGGGAGGACTGGGGCGACCTGCATGACTCCCTACTCCCTCTTGGGGAACAGGTTCCTCTGTTGAGTCTTCATGAGAGTTGCATGTTTTACACAAAGCTGCCACGTTCTCTGTCCTTTCCATGGGGCTTTCTCAGTACTTTGGCCTATTATCTCATTTATCCTTACCACCCTTTGACGTAGATAGCAAGGGAATTAATCTAACAGCACACACACACACACACACACACACACACCCCGGCCTGTGGGAGGGGGATTAGCCCAACCCTGCAGCTGTGCTCACTCCATGGGCCTTCGTCTTCTTTTCTCCTGTGAGCAGCCTGGCTCCCACCTGCCTGCTCCCTAGGGCTTCCCGCAGAATCCCTCCGCTCGGCCTCCAGCTGCACCTCTTCCTTCAGGGACTTTTACCTGCACCCCTGGTCCCTGCTACCCTCCAGAGCCTGGCAGTCCTAGGCTGCTGCCTCACTGGGGACTCTGTCCTTCCAGGCACCGTCTCCATGCAGTTTCCTTGGGCCTGGGCCTGAGCCCCCTTGCCCTTTGCGGCTGTGTGGAATGGCAGAAAGGTCAGGAGGTCTGTGCTGCCTCCCCTCAGGCAGCAAGTGAGGCTGCAGCAGTGTGTGCTGAGCCTGCTGGCACCTGCAGGCAGAGTTGCTGTGGCTCGCTGCATCTGGGGTCACAAGGCTTGTGGGGGCTTTGATTATGGCTCTCATCCCCAGCCACCTGGTGTCCCTCTCTGTGTTCTGCAACACCGAAGAAACCTCTTCTCCCCTTCACCGTCCCCTGTGAGCTCTGGTGACTGCTAGGCCCACCTCTGGCTTTCATAGACTCCCAGCGGTGTGTTGGCCTGCACAGCTCAAGGGCAGGGGGTGGGCACCCTGGATATGTGCCACAGGCATCAGGCATGTGTGAACTAGCCAAACCTCATGGGCTTGCTTCACTCTGCCCAGATCACCTCCTCAGAGCGGCACATGTTTGGGGCTCAGGCCACTGTGGGAGGGGTGTCAGGCACATAAGGCTTGCCTTCACCTCCAGAAGGTGAGGTGGTCCTGAGCCCCCTGCTCTGGGCTGGAGAGGCAGTTGGGGGCAGTGTGGGCTGCTCGCCAGGGACTGTTGCTGGGGACCGCCCCTCCCCCCACCCCCACCCCACAGGTAGGGTGGCATTTAGGAGCTGGGCTAGCCTGGGACTGAGTAATGCCCCAGAGAGGGCCCGGCCTGGCCCCTAGACCCTGCTGCGATGTTGACCCCCCTCACAGCGACCCCAGAGTCGTGGTCACAGAAGCAGCTGGCTTCAGAGTGTTCCTGCAAAGCTGTTTGTGGGTTTGAACCAGCGGCCTTTTGGTTATCTGCTGGGTACTTTAACCACTGTACAACCAGGGCTTGTGGGATGAAGTTACGGATCTTGACATGGGAGACAAACCTGTGTTATCTGGGAGAGTCCAGTATCACAGGTCCTTACACGGGGTGGGGGGCATCCTGGCCACCTGCCACCATCTCTGGATCCCTGACCTGGAGGGCTGTGCTGCTGGTGTGGGCTTGAGTTGGGGGAGGGGACTGGGCCAGACCTGCACGATGTTGAGCCAGCGGTGCCCTATAATGCACCATTTGGAGCATATTAGAGACAAGTGGAAGCAACTGCTCTGTCAGCTGCAATCCGAGGCTTCAGAGACCCCCCTCTGTGACAGGAACCAGTTGGGGATGATGTAAACAGGGCGTTGCAATGGTGGAGCCATTGTAAACACTCAGAGGAGATTTTGAGTGGACGGCCCGGACCTCCAGCTGGTTCAGAGCCTGGGTTTTGACCCAATATGGTCATTTGTAAACCCTGGCTGATCCAGAGTGGTCATTGTAGCCTCAAGTGAGCCTGGCCTGCAGTGTACGTGTGGTGATGTCTGCTCTTCTTGGCGAGTCTGGCAGAGGGCAGAAGCCAAGGAAAAGCAAGGGCTGTGTTCACATAGATAGCTCTCTTCTTTTAGTTAGGTGACTGCAGAAGCGCGGGTACCAATTTTGTTTTCGTCTCTGAGCACGAAGACTAGCACTGATTCCAGTTTAGTATTAGGAGTCCATCATGGCAGAATGACTGGGATACCCTTCTGTTCTTACAGACATTGAACTTGCTAGAAACTAATAAGAGGAGAGGAGTGGCATTGTGAGACAAAAACAAAAGCCTGCCCTGTGCTCCCATGTAAAAGGAGACCATGGGGGTGTGCCTGCACCCTCAATTTGCCCCATAGCCCAGCATGGAGCGTGTCCCACTGAGTGAGACAGCTCCCACTCTAGCTCAGCTGTGACTACCCTGCACAGGCGAGCACAGCCTCCGAGCTTCCCTGGCTTGTCCCCAGGAAGCTTCCTGTAAGTGCTCTTGCCATTTCCCAGCCCCACAAGCCCCCACCCACTACCATCAAGTCAATTCCAGCCTCTAGAGTGCCCCAGTTCTGTCAGGGGGAGCTGAGGGGCAAGGGTGGTCTTCTCCAGGTCCCCACAGCCCTCTACCCACTGACTCTGTGTGGGCCCTCACTAGTGTTACAGGAGGAAGCCCAGTTTGCAGAAGTGGGTGGTGACACATCAGCGTTTGAGGGAAGGGGGTCTCCTGTGTTTATTGGGACTTGATCTTTTAGGGGAAAGTTATTCATCTTTTCCCTCTTTCAGATTGATTCCTGGTGCAAAGACAACAGCTATGTGATTGCCGGTTATTATCAAGCCAATGAGCGGGTGAAGGATGCTAGGTACGTCCTGCAAGACTGCCCCATGTAGGCGGCCTTGTGCGTCCATGCCAGTCTGGCCTCCGTGCTTGCACACAGTGCACGTGGCTATGTGTATTCAACCCCAAACAAACCCAGAGACACAGCCCACCCGATGAGCATGAATAGGCAGCGGCCTTCCCTCCCCTCTGGCACTGTGGAAAGCATCACACACAGCTTGGGAACCAGCACCTGGGCACACAGACACGGCTTCCCTCATCAGTGGGTGGCACAGGCTGGCTTAGCGACGGGGGCTTCAGGGAGGCAGCGAGGGGCTCTACACATTGCGTCCCCAGAGCCACATTGCCGCCCCCCCCCCGCCACTTGCCCAGCACAGATTCTGTAGCCCTGAACTTAGATAGACTAAATTGAACAGGACAACCTAGAAGAACTGAACCCACGATTTCAGTGAGCAGCTCAAGAAGACGGACCATTCTAAAGAAACGCCAAGGCCTCGAGTTGAAAGCCAGATGGGAAAAAGCACTCAGCAGTTCTCACACTGAAAGAACTGAGGGGAATCAGGCTTCAAGTTCCACTAGCGAAGGTTCCTAACGATGGGTCATTGAATGGTATTGGAATCTTTCATTAAAAGAAGATAAGAACCTTTCAGAGGAGTGAAGGGTCAAAAACGAGGGGTCTTGAAGATATGAAGGGGCAGTGTGGCAATGGAGATGTTTCAGCAGGCGGTGACGTGCTGGTAGCCCTGACTTGAGACAGCTGTAAGTGTGCCACTCCAAACAAAGGTGATCCAGCAGAAAGTGTGACTTGCTGAACATATCATTCCTATCACAAGTAAGGAGAGGTTTGCTGAAGATAACTCGAAACCAGGGGCATCGTTCATCAAGGGAAGCTGCCAGAAACCCAGTCTCCTCAGGCATCAGACAAGGGCATTCTGGTGGCCGAGACCCAGACGCGAGTAGGACACACTCCCTATGGCCATGCTGACACCACAGCTTATTGGTTTTGTCACTCGTTCCAGGCCAGCGTGGTCCTGGCGGGCGGGCAGGGACGGTGGAGGTGGTGGTAGTAGGCCTCGCCTGGCTGCTGGAGTACTAACAGACTCTTCTCCCACAGTCCCAACCAGCTTGCCGAGAAGGTGGCTTCCAGGATAGCCGAGGGCTTCGGTGATACGGCTCTCATCATGGTAGGTCTGTTCCCGGGCCGCCCGTGCTCACAGTGTCTCACTCCAGCAGCCCACACCCTTCTGGTCCTCCTCAGACCTCGCCCTCACTCCTGCAGCTTTAGGGAGGACCAAGTGACTGCTCTAGGCTATTTGTTGAAACCTTGTGTTTTCAGGACTTGAAGGCCATTTGAATGAAACTAGGGGTGGGGGGTGGATTTGTGTTTGTGTGTTTGGTGGAAAGGATTTTGATTTAATTAATGGGATACATGTGAGGGTGCTTGAAAATGTTTCTGTAGCTTTTAATTTTTTCCTAGACGTTTTGAAGCCCCAAGGGGGGGGGTCTCTGGTGCTTGGGTAGGTGACCAGAAGCCCTTCTCTTCAGAGTCACAGTTCTACAACCCCCACCACCACCAGATGGCAGTGTACACCAAAGTGGGACAGCACCTTCCCACTAAACCCCAGAGGTAGAACACATAGGTGGGTGCTGTGTATCCCATGGATCATGAAAGGGTTAACATGGCTTAGGAGGAGGTAATGGGTTGAGTCCCACTTCAGTCAGAGCACAAGGACATCCTTGCTCTGTTAGTCGTGCTCCAAATGGGGCCCTAGGCCCATAGCATCGCCGCCTCCTGAGCACTGGTTAGAAGTGTGGAGGTATGTGTCAGGGGCCATGGACAACCCTTTCAGGTCTGAGCATGCCAACAGTGGGGTCAAATCCGAGATGGGAAACGCCCGTGTTTATCCTGAAGCCCTGGTGATATAGTGGTTAAACACTCAGCTGCTAGCCAAAAGACCAGGGGTTCAAGCCCACCCGGGACCTAAGGCCCTGGCCATCTGCTCCTGGTGGCCGTGTCGGAAACCCTGTGGGCAGTTCTGGGCCTGCACTGGGCCCCCTGTGAGTCAGAGTGGACTCACCAACCTCTTGTAGCAACAAGGACAGTGAGTCTGCACCCCAGACTGTCAAGGCAAGGTAACGCAGCGAGTTTGCGGCATCAGCTCACTGTCAGGCGGGGTGCCTGGAGCGCCTGCTCCCTGTTCTGTGTGCTCACGGTGTGTCCCTTCCTCTGCTCAGATCGACAACACGAAGTTTACCATGGACTGCCTGGTGCCCACGGTCCACGTGTACGAGCACCACGAGAACAGGTGGCGGTGCAGAGACCCTCACTAGTGAGTGCTGCCCCCCCCACCCACACGCCCCTCCAGAGACGGCACAGGCCTGTCCCGTCAGGAGTGTGCTTCCACTCCTGAAAGGAGAGGGTGTGGGTGTTGCTTTGTGTCCTGCCTCCTGGCCCTAAGGAGCCTCCCCTTGTGAACAGGAGAGGATGTGTGTCACTCTGTATCCTGTCTGTCCCCAGCCCCAGGGAGTCCCCCAGGTCAAATCTGCCCACCGGGTGGCTGGATTTTTCTTCCCGAGCACTTTCCAAGTTGTCCTTGATGTCTCCTTGGGCATTAGCCTTGGGTTGCATTTTTTGTGCCCCGTCTGATGGGTTTCCAGATTCTCAGTATTCTCTCTGGGTGCTAGGGGCTCCCTCTTCCCCTGGGAAAGCCCCCCCACCCCCACTCCCGTCCTGCTCTGGGATTAACCTCTCCGTCTCTGGCCCCCTAGCGATTACTGTGAAGACTGGCCTGAAGCCCAGAGGATCTCGGCCTCACTGCTGGACAGCCGCTCCTACGAGGCCCTCGTGGACTTTGACAACCACCTGGATGACATCCGGAATGACTGGACAAACCCTGAGATCAACAAAGCCGTCCTCCACCTGTGTTAGGGACGGCCTCGGACTGGGCTTGGGCGCATCCTCCCGAGAAGAGAGCGGATTTAAATGTAAATAGAGTAGCCTCTGGCCTGGGTGGGAAGCTGGCACGTCACCCGTGTCCAGAAGGAGGGCAGGGTGTCTACACAGCTGCCTTTTTACTGCAGTCTCTTGGGGAGCACCGGGTCCCTTTTTCTGCCCCGTGGAGCCCCTCCTGACTGTCTATTGCTAGAATCTTCCAAATCAAAGCTATTTCTGCTTGTCTGAGACGTTCCTATTAAACCATTTTAACTAGCCGCCTCTCATCCCCAAGGAATCCTCCTTAGAAACAGCCCCTGCCTCTGCTACGGAGCGAGTGGGTTGCCCTCCTGCACCTACGCACTGTGTGTGCGTCCTCCCTCGGACTGCATGCCACCTGAGGGCCGAGCTGTGGTGAGGGGAGCAAGATCTCTGTTTCCTGAGAGACAGCCAGGGCTGTGGGAAGCAGCCTCGCCTGTCCCGGAGTGCCTGGTCCTTTAGCTGGATGGACTCCTGGCTGCCACTCCACAGAAACCAGAGGGGAGAAGGGGACGTGCTGCAGCGGAGTAAATGCATCCCTTCTCCGGAAAGCAGAGCCAGTGGCTCCGGCGGCAGGACACTGGTGTCTTTGGTCTTTGAGGCAGCAAGCGCTGAGCAGCCGAGGTGGGCCCTGGGGTGGCACAGACCCCGTCGGGAGTTTGCACACTTGGGCCACTTGACTGATTTTCCTAGCCCGGCAGTAGGGGAGCCTCATACCTTACAGGCCTCTCTCCCTCCCCCCCATGACATCTGAGGCTGACCCTTCACCTGAGCATCAAAAGACCCAAATGGGGGATACAAGGAAAGGGAGAGGAGCTTGTATTGGAATGTGTGACCTTTCACCCTCCTGGTGGGGTGGGCAGGGGGGGCTAGGTTCTGTCCTGGGGCTCCTGCAGCTCAGGGCTGTCAGGTGCAGTGCGAGGGCTGGTCTTGGGGCCCTGTGAGCTGGTGTTTCCCTCAGCTCCCCTCAGCACGGCTCGGCTGCAGCAGGGCCTGGCCCTCCTCACCCAGGACCAGTGAATGCTATGAGGAGGCCACCCGACTGTTTCCATTCTGCTCTCCGGCGCATGTGTGTCTGGCTGAGTATACGGGGTTGTGTGTGTGAAGACCGACTAGGAAGGTGGTTCTCTCCACGTGCGTGCATGGGTGCGTGCATGTGTGTGTGAGAGAGAGACTGACTCACTAGGAAGGTGGTTCTCACAGCCAGCCAGGTGTCCCCATCAGACCCACCGCTGAGGGACCATCATTTTCCATTTCTGGTCACTGCTGTCTGCGAGGGTGCCAAGCAGCTTCATGCAGGACACCCCAAAGACCATCTCTGCTAATGCTAAGGAAACTTGAGTTGGAAATAGAACGCAAGTGGGGAATCTTGGGTGACTTCAATTTTCAAACCAGTTTTCCTGAGGCCTGGTTACAAGTTGGTCTGCACCAGCCACTTCTCAGGAGAAAAAACGGCTTTCTACTTCTGTAAAGAATTATAGTCTTGGGAATCCGCAGGGGCAGTACTGCCCTGTCCCACAGGGTCACTGAGTTGGAAACGACTCGGTGGCAGTGAGTCTGGCTGTTTTTGAGCTGCTGCGCTGGGATAGATAACTGACATGCTGAGTGGAAGCAGGACGAACAGCCGCAGGCCTTAATGCCCAGGCCCTGCAGATGTTCGTGGCAGAGGACAAAGGGCAGAGTTTTAAAATAAACTTCCGCGCAGCTAATTGGCATTCCTTGAGGCCTCCGCTCTGGCTTGGTTTGGGGTGTGGTTTCTGTTCAGTCAAAGGCTTGGCAGGGAATGGTCACTTGTGCCCGTGCTGAGCGCGCTCAGACGTGCCTGTGTAGCCGATTCATCCCTTCTGAGAAGCGGAAGAACAGTATTGCTGTCCTCGGAACACCGGCTTGCCATCCCTCCATGGGCCTAAAATGCCCCTGGATGGGATGCGAACCGATCGCCTTTGTGCTTTCTGAGAAATGAATTTCCCTTCTTCCAGGCCCTCCAAGGAATGCTTCCTTGCAAGACTCAGGAGTGCTGCCCCTGGGGAGGGGAGCTGGAGGCCCCTGGGTGGTCTGAGACCCAAGCCAGCCTGCCCGCTGCCCTGTCCAAGTGGTGAGTGAGCATCAGCTAGGTTTCACGAGCAGGGAATCTGTGCTCGGCCTCGGGTCACCTTGCAAAGCAGAAGACAAGCCCACTACACTGCCCAGTTCCAGCTCACAGCAACCTTCCCGGACAGGAGAGCCACCGGCTTCCCACACTGGACGTCTCCTGGGAGCGCAGCCTCATCTTCCTCCCACGGAGCAACTCCTTGCCATCAAGTCGGTTCTGATTCCAACAGCCCTACCTGTAGGACAGGGGAGAAAGCCCTGTCTTTCTCCTGAGGAGCAGCTGGTGGTTTTGAACTGATTGCCTTTTAGATCAAAGCCCAATGCATTCCCATTACCCTACCAGGGCTCCTCTGCCCCTAAGGTGTCTTAAAGTAGGAAGGCCCGCTTCCTTTAGCTAGTTGAGTCTCCAATCTGCTATGCACACCCCAGGAATGGGCAGACCCTGTGTCATGAGTTGTCTGCCCCTGTGTGGGTTGGCCATGCCCCCAGCCAGGCCTGGAGCCTCTCCCTCAAATCAGATCTCAGCGGGAGGTCTCATCCCTAGGCTGACCCCCACCAGGGTCCTTGAGAATGAGTCCTATTGATCCCTTGCTGAATGGGTCACCTGCTGTTGTCTCTCCATCCGGCCTCCGACCTCCTGTCCTCAAATGGCTCTGCTAACCACCGCTAATGCGTGGACTTCCCTCTCAGTCTGCCCTCCCAGGAGAACAGCCATTTGAAGCTCCTGCTGGGACAAAGGGTGCCCGAAGGTCAGCTTAGCTCTGCGAAACTACCTCCACACTCGGCTTTCAGGAGGGGCTTGGGCAGCCCAAAACCTGCCGTGTGGCTTCGCACGCGAACTGGGCTGGCTAGAGCCCCCAGAAGACGACCCTGGCCACCACAGGTATAATTATGGCGGTCTCTGATTGCACAGGTGCGCTTCAGCAAGGTGGGCTGATGCACCTGCAGACTCAGCTCCATGTCATGTCGCTGCACAGCTGGGCAGGGGACCTGGGCGAGAGGGACACAGTCTGGGTGAGGGAGCGGCCGGGCAAGAGGGAAAGGAAACAAACTATTAAAAACTGGAACATATTTAAATGGATCCTAAGGGAGATCAAGTGATAGAGCACTACATTTTCACCACGCTGCATCTGCCACGATCCACTTTCAAACGCACTCTGCATGATAGCAAGGCTCTTTCCACCCCTGGGGCATGGCCAGAGGGGATTCCCCACTGGGCTCCATCAGCCTGTCTCACATCTTTTGGAGTGGGCAGGAAGGACCAATGGCTCGAGTTGGTGTGAAAGAGACCTTCCATACAGTGGATGGACCCCTTGGCTGCCACAATGGGCTCCGTCGTGGGACCGGACAATGTTTCATTCTGCTGTACAGAGAGGGCCACCGGGGCTCAGAATCCATTCAAGGCATCTCGCAACAAGCACCACCACATCCAAGAACTACACTGTTCCTGAAGCATGTGGAAGTGGAAGAGCCCTCCCACCACCAAAAAGTTACCCTGTGCTGCAGTGTGCCGTAGTCGACCCTGACTCGCAGGGAGGCCTCTGACAGCCCAACTGCCCCCACAGGATGTCCCAGGCTGAAGTCGCTGGGAGGCCATCGCAGGTCTTTTCGCCTGTGAAACAGTGGATGGGCTCAAAGTGGTGACCTAGGTGACCCATGCGTTAGCCTCCCAGCACTTAGCCACTGAACCGCAGGCTCCTTAACAAGAAAGCAGCTTCTCGTTCCATCCCTGTTCCCTCCCTGCCGACTCAGAGGGATCCCACTGGACAGTGTCCAACTCCCGCTGTGAGTTTCCCACATAGATCTGTGGGAGCAGGTAGCCTCATCTATCAGGCTGCCATGAATGGCAATGTCACGACACTGGGGCCCCTCCATCCAGGATGAACCCCACAGACCAAAACCCTAACCTACCACCGAGGAACCGATTCCAAGTTCTCGCTGGGAGGTGCCGTCACATTTGTAGGGACCCCATGCACAACAGAAGCAAACAGCGCCCGGTCCTGTGCCAGCCGCTTAAGGTCGAGCCACTGCGTCCATCCACCTCATCCAGGGCCTTCCTCTTTTCCACGGCCCTCGACAAAGCATTACTGAGCATGATGTCCTTCTCCAGGGACTGGTCTCTCCTGATGACGCCCACCTCTCGCCACCCTTGCCTCTGAGGTGCACTCTGGCCATCCTGTTCTTTCGGCCATGCGGGCCACTTTCCATAAGCCTCCCCGGCCCCCTAGGCACCGAGCTCCTGGGCGTAAACCTCTGGGGAGACATCGCCATGTCTCCTTGCCCAGCAGTGTCCCCAGCAAACTGCTGCTTTTTAACGGTTTTATTCGCAGAGAATTCACGTATCACACAAGTCAGTGGTTTCACCAGATTTAAAGGGGTGTGCCAGCAGTCAGACTCAACCACAACCCCACCAGGGCCCCCAAAGGAAGTGAAGGAAGCAAAACCCACTTGGGGGGCCCCACCCTTGGGCATGAGCGCAAACTTGCTCAGGCCTGACTTGAGCTGGACATGCTGGCTGGAAGGGTATCCTCCTCCGCCTAGCCCCCCTCCTTCAAGGGGCCAGAGTGGGGCTGGTGAGCAGGAGACTCCTAAGCATTCGCCTCCGGCCCAAACCTTACTTGCTGCATTACCAAAAAAATGTTTTTAAGAAGCTAAAGCCTCTCGTTTTTCCAACTAAGGTGAAGGATTGTGTTTCTGGGGACAGGGATGGAGGCCGGGCTAAAGGCCAGTCAGGAACATGCTGGAACTCCTCCATCTTGACTCAGCTTCCTGTGCCTCCCGGGGTCCAGGTCCCCACTGCTCCACCAGCTCCCCTTCCAGGAACATTCTTGCTTCCTGAGCAGGGTTGGAGTTTGGCTTTTATTTAAGTAAAAACAAAGGCATTGTGATAAAATCCATCTCGCAGCCAGAATGCGCCTTAGAGAAAAGGCTGGCGAGACTGGGTCTCACAGACTTTGGACACAGGGTCAGGAGAGTCCAGTTCCTGGAGAAGGGCATCCTGCTTGGTCAATGGAGGGGCAGCAAAAAAAAAAAAAGACCTTTGATAAGATGGATGGACACAGTGGCTGCAACAATGTCCGTCCTAGACCTTCCTCACTATGTGCCCGTTGGGAGGGGGAGCCCTGGTGGCCTAGTGCTGATGCGTTGG